CCCTGACAAAATTTTAGAGGACTGCATCAGAGAAATCTTCTGAAATTACTCCTCTTGAATACAAACCAGGGCCTGACATTTTCCAAAAAGAACAACATAGCTCAAAAATCTTTAGCTGTTTCTTTTTTAATCTTTCTAAAGAAAGAAAACTTTCTTGATTAGTGACCTGATTCTGTAGAATATTTTAGTATCTGAGCCTCCCTTGAAATAAGTGTGTTAGGTAAGATCTGAAGGCACTTTTTCCTCCAGCAGTGACTTTTATGTTGATGAATTTTTTAGAGCTTCCTTTAAACACATTCCTTTCTTCTATTTTTTAACGGTATTTTAGTTTGAGTTCTCCTTACATCGTACTTAAGTTATAGTTCGCTAAATCGTTTTTTGACTCCATTCTTTCCTCATTCTTTCCTGAAAAACAGGAACAGATTTAGTTTTATATGTCACTTGACCATCAAAAATAAACCTAGAGGACTCTGCCTTCCTCTAGGCTACATTCTCATCCTTTGTTTGGTCTTAGGATTCTCTGAAATTGATTACTACACTGACTCCCAAACTTCATCATCCACTGCCCTCTGCACATGGCCTCTTCTCTAGCTAAGAATCACCGTGCTTTCCTATTCCTACATTTTGAATTCTCACCTGTTTTAAAATTCAGTTCAGTTGTTATCTCTTATCTCTTTGATGATTTCATTCCTATTATTCTCCTGAAATCACTTTTGCCTTTACTATCATTTATTGCTTATATATTATATTTCAAACATTTTTCCTTTGGGAAAGAAACGTTTCTCCTTTGAACCATTGTTTGTAAATGGAGTTTATAGTGCCAGGTGGAAGAGTAAACACGTTGAGAGTGGGCTTTTTACCTTTTTTTAAAGAAGCCGAGTGTGGGAGATATTCAGGAAAAAAGGAGGGCTTAACCAATTAGCTGAAGTTTGTATTTGATCTAGAAAATGAAGGAGAGCTTCAAGAATAGCTCCTTGTGAGCCTGGAGTGTGCAAAGAACTCTTGAGATTTATTTTGTTAAATATCTTCATCTCTGTGTCATCGATCTCCCTCTCTCTCTGCTCTTCAGTTTCCTAAAGCTGACTCTGAGTCTCCACTGTCACCACCCATGTCCAGTTTATGGTCTCTTACCCACTCTCTGTCCCCTAGCAGAGGCCCCTCTTGACCCAGATACCTCCAGTTGCATTGCTGAACCAGAGATAAATTTAACTTTTCAGAAATTGTTATTGTAAAGAAAAAAGGTGAACCAATCAACAAACGTGAGTCAGTCGACAAATGTCTGCCAATCAGAACTTTACAACCCAATTACTGTAATTTGGAAATTCATAAACATTCAATATTCAGCCAAGGATTTGGTCAGAAATGAAGACTCCCAGAGTTCACCTCAAACTTTCTAAATTAGGCCCTTATCTGCACATTAAGGCAAAAAAAAAAAAAAAAAAACCAAGATCAGAAAAAAACCATAGTTTTCATTATTCATAGATATCATTGTTTCTGTAGGAAATTCTAAAAGAATTTAAAGATCAGTAGTTGGCATTTAATAAGAGAGATTAACAAGATTTATTGATACAAGATCAAACTATAGAGATCAATTTCATTTTTCCATAACAAACCAAAAAGAAGGAATTTTTAAGTAGATGTCATTTACATGAACATCACGATATTGAAGTATTTTTCACACTTCTGAATGCTAGGAAGTACTAGATTAAGGTACCAGCAAGGCAGATTTCTTTCTGAGGCCTCTTCTCTTGGCTTACGTGTGGTCACATTCTTGCTGTGTGCTTGCTACACCTCTTCTTTGTGGTCTCCAGATGGGCAAACAGAGGGAGAGGGAGAAAGATCTTTCCTTTTTCTTCTTATAAGGTCACCAACCTTACTGGATTAGGACCTTACCTTCATGACTTTATTCAACCTTAATTACCTCCTAAAGGCCTTATCCCCAAATGTAGTCACTTAGGGGGTTAAGATTTTAACATGTGAATTGAGGGGATGTAATTCAGTCCCTAGTAACTCTTAAAACAGATCTATATGAAAATAAAAGAAATGCCTTATTTCATGAATTGGAAGACTCCATGTGAAATGTAATATGAAATGTAAATTCTCTTCAAATTGATAAATAGATTCTTTTTAATACAAATGAAAATCACAACAAGGTTTTTGTATGCTTCATTGTGGACTTGAAAAACTGATTCTATAATTTATAGAATTATACTTACACATATTTTGTATTTATATTATAAATTCTATGACTTATAGGAAAATATAAAGGGTCATGAATAACCTTGACCGTATTGATGAAAAAGAAAATGGATATTTTTCTTCAAATTTCAAGCATATGTAAAACTATATTAATTAAAGTGTGATATTATATAGGGATAGACAAACAGATTAATGAAATAGAATATACAGCCCAGGAACACACTCAACACTATGGATGCTTGTTATAAAACAGCAATGATTATGCAGATCAACAGAGAAAAGCAGTGTTTTTCATTAACTGGTGCCAGGAAAATTGTGTAGCTAGCCATAAGGAAAAAAACAGGAAAGAAAAAGGATTCTATCTCACAAAATACACAAAAATGCATTCCAATAGGATTAATGATCTAAATGGGTAAAGGAAATTTATAAAGCTCTTGTTTTATTATGAAGATAAAATAAAATATAACTTCATTATCTTGGTAAGGTGATAATTTCTTGAAACACAGAGCACCAAAAGGACTGGTACATTGAAATGTATTAAAATTAATTCTATGTATAATTTAATTGTATGTCTAATTAAGAAATATTAAATTAAATAATTTCTATTCATCAAAAGTCAAAGAGAGCAGAAAGCCAGTTACAAGGTAGGTATTTGCACAACATAAAATAAACAAAATAAACCAGTATTCAGAATACATACTGAACTCTTTTAAATTGGCAAGGAAAAGACAGACAGCCTAAAATAAAAAATTAAACAAATATTTGAACAGACATATCAGAAAAGAGGAAATCCAAAAGGTTAATACAAAACATAAGAAAAGGTGATTAATTGCACGGATGATCAAAGAAATAAATCCACAGTATAATACCCTTTTTAACCCACTAAATTGGCAAACATTGAAAATTCAGACAATAACAAGTGTTGGTAAGCACATGGGACAAGAGAAAATATCATGCACTGTGATGGGAGTCTAAATTGGAAAACTCTGATAGAGAAATATGTATCCTAGGACTCTAAATCTCTATGCCAAGTGTAACCCCTAGAGAAACTAGTTGCATGTGCATTAAAAGAGGCATAAAAATGTTCACTGGAAGATAAGTTCTAAAAGGAAAAAAAAAAAACCTAGAAACAATTCGAATGTCCATCAACAGTAAAAAGAACAAATTAATCCTGGTAAAACTAAAAAGAGAATTAGAAAAATTATTGCCACCAATGTCAGAGGGTTGGTGTAGGACAGTGTAATGATAGAGAAGATGCATATAAGAAATTGCTTCTAAGGTCTGATCATGTTATATTTCTTAATTTTGGGTAGTGATTACACAACATTTGCTCTATAATTATGATCTAAATTTACAGATATGTCATACATGGTTTATATACTCTTTTATATATGTAGGATATTGCAGAACTTTAACAATATTCAGTCACTTTTAGACCCAAGGACAATCTTGATTCAGTAATAAAAATGTTCATTAAGCTTAATCATAAAAGATTTCGTCTGACTTGAGAGTTGCGTTTTTCTTCCCCAGTCCTGTGGCTTTTCAGTAAGGGACCTCAACCACTCAATATGGAAAACAAGCATCTGCTCAGCTTCTTGCTGTCCCAGGCCTACACATCTTCCTTCTCCCACTTGCTGACTCCACTTGATTTTTTTTTATTTCTCCATTGCTGGGGCTAAGAGAAAAAAGAGTGGAATCTGATTTTTTATTTCTCCAGTGTTGGGACTAAGAGAAGAAAGAGTGGAGAGGGATAACAAGGTGTTTGTTAACAGACTCTGTTACCATCAGCCTTTTCTGTTCTTTGGGCTTGGAGAATGCTTAAAACTGATTCATTCCCTCTTGAACTTGGTTCTAGAGAGATCCTACAGTGGGAACACCCGACCTCACTTGCCTCAATGAGCCATTGCCTTTCCTCTGGCTGGACGTTAAAAAACACACACAACTAAAAGGTAATAAAAACAAAATCTTCAGTTTCTATATCCATACGTACAATTCTCATCTTTTTCTACTGAGATTCTGTTGCCTGTAGCAAGAAGCAGTCTTGACTAAGGTTCCCTGTAAAATGATCGAGGCTGGATCTTGCTCACCCAGGGAGCCAATATCTAGATCCCAGAAAAGAAACTTCTCTTTCCCATCACTCCTAGGGCAGCAAGTTTCAGTTTTTTTCTGGAATGAGTAAAACTCAAATGCATGTGCTCTTAGGATCAAATTCAAGTTTTCAATGGAATTCCACTGAAGATTCTCTCACTAGGCTTGGGGTAAGAGAAAAAGGCCCCCTTCTTTCCCACAGAACCATAGAGAAGTAGGGTGAAGAGGGAAAATGTTGCAACATTCTCTCTCTAGTGCCCTTGTAACTGTCTCCAAAAAGATTTTTGTACCAGTCTCTTCATACTTGATACTTTTTTATCTATTAGATGGATATTTTGCTAAAAGTCTTGTCAGTGCCGTTGTTTGCTTTATCTTTTGGAATGCAAGAATTCTTTCCAACTTCCTATTTTATTCTTCATCTGTTGAAATCTTAGCAGAAAATAAGTCCTATTTTGACAGCTTGTCACAATCACTTTCAACCAATCCACACCACGCCTCTATATATGGATCCTTCACTTTCCGAATCTTTGTGCAGTTCTGCATGTTGATTTTCATTGGTTTCTCTTTTACTAGCCCTTAGCAGAGCAAAATAACAAAAAAACCTGAGGTATTTACCATTCGTCCTTCTGTTTTCTTTCTTTCATAAGTTTGTCTACATTGCTTGTTTGTTGTGTTTCTTCTCTGAAATTATTTGTCTTTATGGACTGTGCTTATTATCTATTTTCTGCATTTTTGTAGAATGTCAGGAGAGAAAAAATAGCTTTATAAATAATTTAATCAGAAGACTAGGAACTAAGTCTTATCCTGCCCATGGTGCCTAGTAATATTGTGGCTCCAGTAGTTTGGCGAGTGGGAGGGAATTGTGCCCAGTGGCCTTTTCACTTTTTCACTTCCATAATTCGGTGAGCAGGAGGGAGTGGCACCCAGCAACGTTTTTACTCCCGTAGTTTGGTGAGTGGGAGAGAAGGTTACAGCTTTTTTATTCCCACCACCGGCATCTCAGCGAGCCGGCCAAGAGTGTTACAGCTCTTTTGTTCCCGCAGTTCAGTAAACAGGAGGGATGGTTACAGTTCTTTTATTCCCACCACCTGCAGCTTGGCGAGACAGCCAGGAGCATCATAGCTCTTTTGCTCCCACAGTTCGGCAAGCAGGAGTGAGAGTTACAGCTCTTTCATTCCCACCTCCCGCAGTTTGGTAAGTTCCTGGTCCCGAGACCAAGAGAAATAAGGTACACAAACACCAGAGACTGAGTAAGGTAGAGAAGAATTTTATGGAGTGACAGAAGGAAAGCTGTCCCCTGCAAGAGGGATCATGAAAGTGGGTAGCCCTCTGTGAGGCTGAGTTTGGGTTTTTTACGGCCTTAGAATAGGGAAGTGCATGTTGATGGGTCCACAGGTGTTCTTGGAAAAAGCACCATTCGATTGGTTAAAAGGCATCATCCAGAAGAAACCTGTCAAGAGAGAGTGAATAAGACACGGATAGAAGGTCTCGCTTCAGTCGTGGACTCTATCTGGGACTGGCAGCTTAGTTTTCACGCTTTAAATTGTCCTTGGTTTGAAGGTTGAGTTTTACTGGGGGACCCAGCCCTGTCTGCCTAAGAATTTGTCTGTCTACCTGTCACCATCAGTGAACTGCTTCGTGCAAGGTAATTTTATAAATAAGTTAAATTATACATGAAACAAAAATTTATCCCAACCGTTAAGAAGAAACATGCTTCCTGTATTATGTATTGTATACTGTTGAAATGGTATACTCTGCTAAATATTTATATGACAGCTAAGTAATTATCTAAGCAATGAAAGAAAAACTCAATGATTTTTCTTACTTAGGTTTTATGATTTCCAGTGAATGTGTTTCTGTGTGTATTTGATGAGCTCCTAGTGTTATCAGAAATTTTTCATTATGGTGATGCAGCTAGTATATCTTATTGAGACAATTTCTCTCAGTATGCAACTGTCTGTATTAGGAAAGAACTTAAATATCGCATGTGTTTCTTTGCTCCTGTTTAATGTGATTCTTTTATCTCGGCATCTGTGTAAATCCCATTATAATTATTGTGTGCATAAAAGTATAATAACTGCCTATTTAGTTTACCAATTATATATTAAATTGCTACCTTCATTAAATGAGCATGATAGAAAAGAAAGAAGAAAATTTAAAAGCCTGAATAAATTATTTGCTACCTTGAAAAGAATAAAAATTTGTCACCCAACACAGAGACAAAATTATAATATTTGCTTGAAAACCACCAACTACACTTTTAGATAAGATTATAACTTATTTCGCCACATGAAATAGTTCTCATTGTGTAGGAGTTTTATCTACTAAATTAAATGTAAACCTAAAATAATGTTTTCAAAGTGCAAAATATAAAAAGATACACTCTAAGGTAGGTACAAATTACCTAAAATAAATCAGCATTTTTATTTCACAAGGAACCTCCTTTTTTTTTTTTTTTTTCTTAATCATCGTATCGCAAGACTTCCTATTAGGTAGAGCTTAGTTGTAACATAAACTAGTGACTTGCTAATGATCTTCTAAATATAAAGGATTAAAATCCATTAGTTTGTATCACCTGCATAAAAAAGAGATAGAACATAAAAGCAAATAAAAACCATATGTAGCCATGTGTACTAGAATTGCAGTTGACTCTATTTCACACCAGGTAACTTTTCTAAACCAATTATATGTAATTTCATCACTCTTGCCAGGAATTGCTTCAGGCATGAGTATGTTGCCCAGTTTTTTTTTTTCTAAGGAGACATGAAACCTGCTGAGAAGTCGAGAAAAAAATCTCTAGAAAGATGGACAAGAAAAGATAATTTTCCATCTTTTTCTTGTCTGATACATGAGAAGAAGTCATTTTTCTGTCAGCCTAATAGTGAAGACCACCAAGAATGATAGGAGACAGGAGAAGGGAAGGAAAAGGAAATGAGAGTGTTTGATACCATCCTTGAGTGGCTAAATCAACCAACACTGGAATCCATCTGCCTCTTGTTGTTATGTGAGATAATAATTTTCCATATTGCTTAAGCTTATTAGTGTCAGTTTGCTGTTATTCATAGTCAAAAGCATCTTAACCAATATATGAAGGGATATGAGGAATTATTAAGCAAACTAGGAAAGAGAAGACACATGGGAACACAAAAGCTCTTTTCAAGAGTATGGTCACAGTGGATGATATTGTCAGTAGAAGTTACAAGGTAGTGAATTTAAGCTTAAAATAAAACTTGCTGTCAGAACCATCTGAAAAGGCATAACTGCCTTGGAAAGTGGTTATTCACTCTTACCAGAGATTGGCCAACCATGTCTTAATTATGCTGCCAACCAGAGACATCAGACTATACAACTTCAAGTCATTTCCAATGCTGGAATTTCTTTATTTCTGTGAATCTGGGAAAAATGATTTTTCAACATGAGTCAAAGTCTAAACTATGTCTATAAGACAATCTTCCTTCTGTCCTATATTTTTAGTTCTCTGAGCATTTGTTGAGTCTTTGCTGAGTTTCCAGAGTATGTTGGTAATTGAGAGAATTAAATTACTATGTGATTTTTATAGTTTAATTCCTCATTGGCACATATTCTCAATTAATGATGAATAAACCACAGCATATAATTGAATGTCAGAATCTGTGATAGAGATAATAAAGGGTTTGGCACAAGAAGTAGACAAATCAATATGGGCAAAAATGGCTGACCTTGAACTTGACTTTAAGAGTTAATAAAAACTTACCAAGTGCTGATCTTGACAACATATGCATAAATATTATATAAATGGTGTCTTTAAAAATAGAACCAAATTGACACAATGTCATTTTGAGTTAGTACCATTCAATTGTTAATATTAAATCTCACTATATGGAGTTATTAAATGAAATGTTAGAGCAGGCTAGGGTTAAGGTTAAGATACAAATTTAATTTTGTCTCTGTAATTTTGAAGAAAGATATATTTTTAACAACAGCGTTAAGGCAATGCCATTAGTCATATAATGAAACTGGGAGCTGCTATAGTTATTTCAAAAGAAACTTTTTCCCAGTTTGTATCATTTAGAAGAAATAAAATTTCTACCAAGGTTCTTCTTCTTCACTGTTTCCACCATTTATTTGTGGTTTATGAAGAAAAATTTTAAGAATTTATTGTCCACTGTAGCCATTTTATAATGTAACATTTATCTACTTAATCCAAACATCCTTACAGGAGGCATAAGGAAAATGGACATCACCAGACTTTTAAACATAACAGCAGCATTAAGTGGTTTTCAGAATTGTTGGAGAGTGTACCAGAATTAACTAGGAGAGTACGGTAGACAGTTCAATAAATTACAATAGCAATGAGAGAACTACATGGGAAACTCTAGGAGGATTTGCTGATCTAGCTTCACATCTAATAAATCATATTAATTAAAGAGAGGATTATCCCATTTTTATTGATAAAAGATTTCTGATTTCCCTGGTGCCAGGTACATTAGTCCACTTTTCATGTGTGGAATCTTTAAGAAGGAAAAGATAAATGGAGAAAGAATAGCACCAAAAGGAAGAAATAAAAAGGTAAGGAACAATCCTAAACACGTATGTTGACTAACAATTCTTATAAATCACCTGATCCAACATGACCTCTTGCTGTTACTAGCAGAAAAATTGCTCTCATTTGCATTTTTTTTATTTTCTCTCTTGCAAATAGTGAAGGAAAGATGAGTTCAGGTAAGAGTTCATTATCTCCTCTCACCCTCCCATAGGCTTTGGTGAAAGAAAGCATTTGCAAAATGTGTTCTTCATATGCTATGTTCCTCTCTCCTCCCATGCAGTAGAATCAATTTCAAACCATTTCATTTTTTAACATAAAATCACATCTCATGAAAATATAACCATTGGCATAAAATCAAAAAGTCTGTATTCCTCTATTGCAGGCTTCTGCTAACTGGCCTCTTTCAAGTCCTCTGCTTCAAGCATAGTGCAAATAATATAAAGTAAGTATGTTTTATTTTCTTTGAAGCTCAAGCATGTATACTTTATTTGAACTAAGCATAGACAAAGGTTGTCTACTCTCCTTTTTATTAAAGCTTCATTGAGTACAGATTTATTGCTAGATAATCTTATCTTCTAAACTTTCAAGAAAATTGTACAATTTTAAACTTTATTTATTTATTTATTTTTTGAGACAGGATCTCTCTCTGTCACCCAGGCTGGAGTACAGTGGCACTATCTTAGCTCATTGCAGCCTCGACCTCCTAGGTTCTGCGATCCTCCCACCTCAGCCTCCGGAGTAGCTGGAACAACAGGCATGCACCACCACACCCAGTTCATTTTTGTATTTTTTTTGGTAGAGATGGGTTTTCACCATGTTTCCCAGGCTGGTCTTGAACTCCTGACCTCAAGTGCTTGGCCTGCCTTGGCTTCCCAAAGTGCTGGGATTACAGGCGTAAGCCACTGTGCCCAGCCAACGATTATCTTTTAAGCTTTCAAAAAATTATAAACTCACCAAAACTTTTGCCTGCAGTTCAGATACCTTTTTGATAGATTACACTACAACGTTTTCATGATATTTTCTGCATGGAAGTATTTGTTTCAGTGGATATATGACCATGAATTTTTCATTTCCTTATAAAAAAAGAACTCTTCGTGAATTACCTAGGCATAAGTAGCATTAACAAACTTTACACTTGAAGGTGACATATAAGCAGAAAGATTTTACAGAAGAAAAAATACCATCTTATTATTTGGATGGTTCTTCGTTAATATGTAAATGTTGGGAATCCTGGTGTTTTCCATCTTTTCTCTTTTTTGGTCTTAGAGAGATAGAACCTTACATCATTATCAGATTTTGTTTCTTTTCAAATGTTATCCCAGAATACACTGCTGTTTAAGTGACTCAGGTATAAACATTAGAGTCTTAAAATACTTCTTATGCCCACAACCCCTTATGAATTCCACTTTATTGTTTTTCCCTTCACAGCCAATTTATTTTAAAAGATATATAACTCACAGTCTGTAATTATTTATTTTTTATTTCTCCTCAACCTGATACAATCTGGTTTCTACCTCCACTATACTAGGTCATGAGTGAAGCAATATGGAGGTCATTGGTGACCTAGCTTTGCAACACTTAAACTGATTGACACTCCTTCTTAGAAAACGTCTTCCTTCTTCTTAGTATTACATATAAGTATATTTCCTGGTTCTCAGTAAAAACCCGTTAATTTCTTTATTCATTTATTCAATATGTTGAAAAGTTATTGAAGGTCAGGTTCTATTTCCTGCTCTTCTACTACATCTACTGCTTACATGTCATAACCCTCAATCTATGCTTTTCTCAGTATACACATTTACCTTTGGAGGCTTCATCTAAACACATTGCTAATGATTCTCAAACTTGCTTCTCCAGGCAAGATTTCATTCTTACTTTTCTCAACTGTGTGCAGAATGTCTTTATGCTGGTGTTCAGAAGACACCATATACTGACTTGTCATTAGTTGTAAAAATAAAAGGTTTAAAATATTTATTCTGTTGTGTCCCTTTTATGTTTTTGAATTATTTTATGAAACCCAATTCAAATAACACAGTAAGTTATGAAACAAAGGTAAAAGTTCTCCTAGTTGGAGAAGAAAAGGTAACATAGTGAGAAATAATAAAACAGAAATTACAAAAATGTAAAATATTTTTGCAATACTTTCACAAAATTAATATTTAACTTTGGGTGAGAACACCTGGACACAGGGTGGGGAACATCACACACTGGGGCCTGTTGTGGGGTGAGGGGAGGGAGGAGGGATAGCATTAGGAGATATACTTAAGTAAATGACGAGTTGATGGGTGCAGCACACCAACATGGCACATGTATACATACGTAACAAACCTGCACGTTGTGCACATGTACCCTAGAACTTAAAGTATAACAAAAAAGAAAATAAATAAATAAATAAATAATTTAACTTTGGGGAACTTTCATTTTTTAACCCTGCAAAATAGTGACCAACTGTGCAGATGAGCATGTGCAAATGTACACGATGTCTTTAAATACCTGTATATTGCACAATAGCATAGTGTTCCAATGGATAGTATCTTAACCGTTTTTTATTGATAGAAGCTCAGATCACTTTTGTTGGTTTCTATTGTTGTATTAATTATTCTTGTATACATAATTTTGGGGTATTTGTGTGAATAAAATTCTAAAATATAATAAATTTTTGTAAGTGAATTTCCTAGATTAAAGGGTATGGATATCCAAAATTTTAATGCATAGCTCTCTATGCCAAAAGTGTTGTGTAGATTCACATTCACACTAAAATTACCTAGGTACTTCTGTTTCTCAACACTCTTGCAAACATTTAGTACTCTAATTTGTTTAATTTTTGCTAAAGCCATAGGTAACAAAAAATGATGTCTCATTTTTAATTGCATCTCTTTAATATTAAAGAAGTTGAGCAACTTACAAAATATTTACTGTTATTTGTATTCCCTCTTCAGAAAACTTATTATAAATATGACATTAATTTTCCTTAGTTATTTTAAGGTATGCTTATATAGAGTTAAGAGATTAAAAATCAAATCATGAACTATATAGATTAAAAGAATACAGTATTATCAAACAGCAAATCCTAAAACTATCTCAGACATGCCAGATTTTGAAACTTGATCAAAATAATTTTAGTATTGTGGAAAGGATTATTAATCTGTATAATTTTTAAAAATAAAACTGGAAAATGTTTTGCTAAAGTATTAAGTTGGACCAAAAACATAAAAAGGGTTTCCCAATTGTGAGTCCTCCAGTGATATATGAAGAATATTCTGATTGAATAAAAACTGATGCAAAACTAATATTTAAGGTTGGAACTTGAGAAGATAGCAGCACATTCTCCTGGCACACTTTCTGCAGCAGATTTTGACAAAACTGTATTGAATTAAATGGCTTATGTTATAGCCTTAGCAAGAAAAAACTAAAATTATCCCATTATGGCCTACAAAAACAGAGAAGAATTATGTGCAAAGGGTGAGAAAACAGCAGTTGGTTAATGCACAACAATTAAACATATAGTATTTCATAGGTAATTACCACTTTCTAAAAGGTATTATTCTATGATAGTCCTTTAAAAATAACATAAACACTCAGTTATCCCATATTGGAAATCTCAGTATAGCAGCAAATCATACAAACTTTAATATTTTCTTGGTGTTTTCAATAACTTCTTATATAAACTATTTTTACCATTTACCATAAAGACAAATCAAAGAAAGATGCAAACGTTGAATTTTTTTAAATTTATCACTCATAAAGTTTATGCTCTATAATACTTTCTAGATATTGTGCTATACAGATTAAGAATGTTCTACATGGAAATCAGATTATTATTGATTTTGTAGAAATTGCCACAATCATATTGTTTCTCAGGAGACTAGATTTCTGCCTTTTAAAAATGCTTCAAATATTTGAAACAGGATTTAGATTCACATCTCTGACCCTCAATATTTAAGTGTACCTGTGAGGAATCAGGATACAAAATAGTACTTCTCACTGTTTCTTTCTATTCTGACTCTTCTTAACAATAACTAAAGGCTCTAACACTATATTTAGTAGTTTCAGCTCTTACTGTGATGATCTATTGGCCTTTTTTCTTTCTCTGCAACAGAAGAAAAGTGATAAATTGTCTTCTTGCAACTGCACAAATAAATACATTTCAGCACTAAAATAAGACTGAATGGATAAGGTTTTGGCTCTCAAGTATAGTAAGTCATAGATGCTTTTAGGTAATTTATGCCTTTCCTATTGCCCTTGAAACTATGATGTGCAAAATATATATACAACCTGGGAATGTGTGTGTTTTATTCACTTCCTTCATTCTCAGAGAGAACTACCTTGAGGTGTGAACCTGACAGGAATGTACTGCTGTGCAGGAGAATTGGAGTTACTAAATTGCATTAAGCTCATGATGATTTGGAGAATGTAGAGAAATTATATATTCAGGTTAAAGCTAGTCAAATGCTCTACTAAAGCTACACCCATCTACTATGGTGGAAACCACACATTGTTAAACTTCAAAAGCTCTCACATTGTTCAATTTAATGATGAGCTGAAGAAAAAAAATGTGATTTTTCTCACCCAGTCCTTCAGTTCTCCTTTAGGATAGAAGGAACAAATTTATAGGCTGGGAAGAAAGTTAATCAGTACATTATCAAAACAGCAATACATATGGATAAAAAATGAATACTTCTACCAGTCATCTGGAGGTTTCCTAGTGTCCAGATATTTGATATCATGTTAACTAAATATTTAAATTACTGATTGAAATTTCTCACTTGGAAGTCTCGGTGTCATCTAGATTTTTTCAACAGATCTGTGTTATACCTGGATGTTCCATGGTTTAAAACAAAATAAATTTCATTTTTGAAAAAAAATAATATAATATTGTTATGGTTAGATTAAAGGAGGCATGTTAATATTCATCAGATACCAAAGTTATGGTTAATAAAATGAGGCAATTTGACATCTTCATTGTGCAGATTTAGTAGACACAACTCTGTTCATGAATCATTTTTAATAATGGTATTTCTTGAATCATCAAAAATTAAAACTTTATTTGGCATAAATTTTTTTCTTCTTCCTGAGATAATGTAAATTGGGGAGAAAAGAGTGCCTTCTAGCTGATACAGTCTAATGCCAGCTAGCTTGAGGGCAGTTCCTTGTGGCACATTTTGGGTCTGTATTTTATAAGGCTCTTGGCTCTTCTCTCTGCTGTAAAAATGTACCCAGGGGCTCCAAGACTCTAATTACTGAACAGAACTCTTCACTAGCTAGTAAAATTAGATATAGTTTCTCATAATCAGCCATCAAGTCCCACTCAACCATGAAGACAAGAATTGATTGCTATCGAATAAAATAGAAATGAAAAATAAAAGACATATACAAGTTCTAAGTTCTAGCATTTTATGATTTAAAGCTAATAGCACACTAGGACGACTAGTTAAACTAGGAGATTTCCTTTAAGTTCCTAATTTTACCATTACTTTCTTTGTGTTGTATCTTTTCATTGTGGATATTCTTAAGGAAGTCAAGCTAAAGTCAAACATGAAGAAGGTCACGTGACATAAGGTGTAGATGGACAAACCTCCTTAGATAGAAATCACTTGCAAACCCAAATGTGAAATATTGTAGTCTACAGAGACCTTAAGGAAGTCACAGTTGGTAAGAAAAAAAATACAAGGACGAAG